TTCCAAAATCATGGAGTTGCCTCATGGAAAAGTCTTGCCTAAAGTGAGGCATTTTTCTAAATTGGAGGCAGCCTTTATCTTACAATAAGGAGTATGTCGAGTAAAAACAAAGCAAGCCAAATTTTCCTGCACAAAGAAAAAAGTGTTACATTTATTCCTATCCTAGTACAAGAGTGTAAATGTTAAAAAAGAAACTTTCGCTTCGCTAAGTAAGAAACATAGGGAAACCTAGAAAAAACTTAAAATACTTGCAGGAACTTAAAAAAACTACACAGTCTTTCTACTGTTAATATTGTTGTTCTTCTGACATCTAATGCTTGATTGCGTAAACAGCAGGGAACAGTTCAAAGAGATAAAAGTTCAGTTCCTTGAAGCATCTTCAAGATCGTCATCAACTCTCTCTGTCCTTTTCTTTCGCGATGTTCCTGAAAGACATGAAGAATGCAGTGTGTTTACTTAAATATGTTCATATAGCTTTGCGTTATCAAAACCTTAAATCCGCATACAAGCTTTGTGGCAGTGAAGATGATCATCTGCGCTGAGGATATCTTGTATTTTGCTTTTGTTACCTGAGATGGTTTTAAATTCTTTACAATTTTTTTAGGATTTTTGTAGAGGATTTGTGCGTTTCAGTTTTCACTAATGATGTAATTACCACCAAGAAAAGCATGCCACTTTGGTTAAACAATTCGTTGGAATCACTGATTTTAAGCAATGAATATAAGTGAAGTCACCGCTTGAAGCTGCAGTCAGGAAGCGTGTTCTGTTAGCGCGCAATTCTTAGAGGAAATATCTAACTACACAACTTTTACTTATGGGCCTTTTTTATCGTATAGAAACATCGATAAATGTACAATATAGTGGCGGTGAAACTGACGCTTTATGGTCAGTTAGAGCGCAAAACGGGACTGAATCACTTTTACTTTTGAAATAGAAACTAAAACCCACCTAATCTACTGGATGGTGCAATGCTCCAGGTAATCTGAATAAAGATGCAGAGAGAATGTCAGTAGTGCAGGAATGAATGAAAAAAGCAAAACAAATTAGAAAGAGACAGAGACCTTTTCTTTGTCCTCGAAGGAGGTACACAACTTGTTCTAGCACTTTCAAAGTTTGACCTTTTTTTTGGATGCTCTTCCTCTTGTGCGCTTTATTCTTTGCCCTCTTTCTTTGCTTTCTCTGATAACCATAGTCACGAGAAGAGTTACCCGTTGCCCGTGATTTTCCTGACATTTTGAAGTTTTAAGAAAAATAATCGCGCGCCAACTTGTCTGCCACAAATGTATCTGACAAAGTTTTTTCAACTGACGCGATTTTATGCTCAATTATTAAAATATTCAGAGAAATCGGTTAACTTAAACGCGCAATTTTTTTGAAACCTATAAAATTGCCAGCATAAGAATTACGTTTTTCTGTAAAACGACAAAACAGTTTCGATGTTAATTTATAATTACGAAATAAAATGTTCTCTAAAGGCAGCTTTAAAGTTTCAATAGAGAGGCGGGTAGGAAGTAGTCGTGTACGAACTGCCCAGTCGATCACTGAAAGCTAGGGTGGTTAAAAGTGAGAAATCATAGATTTTCGATTTCCTACTCGCACGATTTTGCGCTAAAGATCTACAGAGTTGCCAAAAAAGTTAAAGTCACTTTGTTCTAATGCAAAGTGCTGTGTGTCAAAATGAGGGTTACAAGTATTGATTATGATTCACTTTCGATTTGCAATAGAAATTGATTAAAAAATAGCTCACCATGTATCGTTACGCCGGAGGATGCCATGCACGCTGAAATAGAGAGAGAATTTTTAGAGAAGGAGAGAAAAACAAACGACTTACAGGCGATTTAATATATCAACGATTATTTACTGGGAACATTTAGACTTAAAATAGAGAACAAGCTTGCAAATTTTTTATGTCTTCGATAAATCGGGCAAATCTACAAACAGCTCTAATAGATCTTTCCAGTTTTTTCTTGCATTTATTATCATTTTCGCGGGCAAAATTTGTTGTTCCGTTTGATCTTCTAGGCATTTTTAAGGTATGATTCTTAGCGATACAAAGAGAGTACCTCTTGAACTCTTGTTTTCAACAAGAAGAATCAATCACAACAGCATTATGTGTGATATATTTTTTTCTGCGCTTTCGTAGCTTCTGCTTATATAATCGACGCCTTCTAAAGCGAAAATCTTTTACGCAATTAGTTTATCTAGCACGGAGATTTTGCATACTCATTGAACTCCTATCCATTTATGTGGAATGCGAAGGAGAGCAACTGATTCTCCCTCTGAGTAGACATATTGCTTTGGCTCTTAGCCCGAACATTGCTATCTAAATTCGAGCAGGGAATATGAATTTCCAATGATATACAATCAACCACAGTCATGTTTTATTGCTTAGCTTTATGAATGGAAAAGAAACGTGCGGTTTAGATGGCTAACAGCTCTTCAAGTGAGTTGAAATATACCCTGCTTATTTTGGGAATATCCGATTTACAAGAAAAATATAGACAATAGTAAAATGACGATTCATGAATCGTTTTTCAAAAATTGATTAAAACTAACCTTTTATTGACTGCTGCACCAACCTGAAATACAGAGGCAAGAAAGTCAGCTTGGGAGAAGTGAAAAATGCAACGAATCAATATCATGACTAAGTTCGGTATTTACCTTTAGCGCGACTTTTACTGCGACTTTTATTCGCTTGTGGCGCTTTACGTCCAGTTTTTGTTGTTTTCTTTTGAATTGCGCCTTTCCTTGGCTTCTTTTTCCTTGCTTTGTTCTTCTTTTTATAACTCGCATCGCGAGTGGAATTACCACTCGCTCCTGCTTTGGGCATTCTTTCTATAAACTGTAGATGCTTGTTTCCTCGGAGTTCTACAGTGAAACCACAACTAACCGCCTCACGCTTTTCCATAGTCTTTGCGCGCGCTTTTTCACCCATGTGACTTTGATTGACATTTCAAAACTAATTGTTATGCTCTGTTTTGCCTACAAATATCTTTCTTCCGCGATATCATTGCTGTTTTTTATATGTGTCTGTTTTACTGGAATCACAAAACAACTACCTTCTTTCTATTTTGTATGGGAAACTCTGCTGGAGTCGATGTCCATCAATTTGGCCTTCAGTCAAATTGCGCCTCATGGCTACCTATCCCTGATAAAAATGTGTTCCCTTGCTCTTACACTTAAATTGCTTTATTTTCGATGGTTTTCGGCGCAAATTCAGTTTTCTTGATCGTCGTTTCGTTTATACAGAAATTGTGGCTTTAGATGGCTTAAGCGTGGGCTGTTAGATCGAATGTTGTGTTTAAATACTTTTCTCTATCAAATTTGATACCACTATCCGCCATCTTGTACAAACAACAAACAATGTTGATCATTGAAGTAGAAAGCGCAATTCTCATATCGAGCTCAAAGATTACGCAGTTTGATGTGAATTGAAGACGAAGGAATCGAGAATCGAGCTCGAGAAAAGCCGAGGACCGCGTGATCAAAAAGTAGGCCGCGAGGTAGAAAACTTGAGTCTATTGAAAACTCTGCTGTGTTACGCCGCCATATTGAACGAACGACTGAAATCCACACTAAGTGGGACTTCAGAATTTATGTTAAGCTTACCCCGAGAGCGCTTGTTTACAGAATACAGCAGCAACAACATCCTGAAAATGAAGGTAAAATAAACGGTTGGTTATGTCGAAAAGCAGATTAATAAAACAACAATATGCAGATACTGATTATAGCAGTTTAAGTCAAAGGCTCACAAGCATTACCTCGCTTGATATCTACATCATTTGTCGTATTTCCAGAACTGCCCGACATCTCCTTGGTAGAATCAAGCTTTGGAGAACTTATTGACCGAGGAAAACGAGTTTGCTTGCTTAGTATGATAGCGCGCTTTATGCCTGCGTAGTTTTTCCCACGAATTAGACTCTCACGTCATACTTTCATATTTGACATTTGATTGTATTCACATGTCTGAAATTGGTTTTACCGATTGGTTTTTACGCGGCCGTCCTTGTCATTCTCTCATCATTCGTCTTCCTCATAGGTGGGTTGTTTGGTTGCGTCAATTAGTTGTGATGAAAAACAATGAACGCGTCTCGGGCCCAAATTTGTTTAATTCATATCTGCACTCAGACGAAACGAAATTCTTTTAAACTTTGCGCCTCGTATGAGAAACAATCGAAGAAGTAAATGATCGAAATAAACTTATATCGTGTATAATAAGTGCTAACAAAGCAGCTCTTCACTATATTCTTGCTTTGACATTTTTTTAATCTTCATTTGCGCAAAAAAACGAGATCATCTTAAAATGCGCGTGAAGATTGTTTCGAGTTTCTTGATCTCCATTCAACAGAAATTTAAGCGAATTTTCCCGCCTACTGCAGTTCAACTCTAGATTGCTCAGCCTTCAATACCTAAACTTCATTTGCGGTAAAATCTCGCGAATATTAATGAACTACCCTAATTTTGGAATCAGTACTACATGGGCCGACTTCACGTTTGAAGTATTTCGCATATTTTGCTTCGTATCATTTAATTTCTGCTTTCTCGGGCGCCATCGGGTCTATTTACTAATGTCCCTAAAACGTCGATGTAATTGGTCCTCGTCTTGACGAATGCCGTGGACTGCAGCCCACGATATTCCTTGCAATATTCTGGTATATATAACCCATTTTGAGACATCCTGTTATGCCTTCTCGAATTCCTGTGCTATCGATTTTGTTTGACATCGGTAGGGATACTGGGTCTCGGATATCTGCAGCGGAAACACCGCTAATAACTCAGAAACAAGACCACAACTCAAAGTACTTTTGTTGTAATGTTTATTGACTCTATCTCTGTCAGATCTTTACATCAGCTCTTCTGCTTTCTCCTCTATGTGAGTGGAATGATGACTTGAAAGCCAAATGAAATACACGATTGTAAAATCTTTTGGAAGTGAGAACCCTAGCTAAGAACTAATCCAAATACAAACCATTTCAGCCGAACGAACTATGATCATAAACTTAATGAAAGCCATAATCATCTGCAAACTCCAGCTCGACTACAATTGCCTTTGTTATACGAGGGAACAATTTTGTTTTAGGCTTCGCAAAGCGAATAAGTTGTGACAACTGCAAGTAATTGAACGCGAGAAACTGCATCAGTCCTTGTGCAAAAGGGCTTCATTGTTCCTCCTTCTAAAACTTGGTGTTTGGTATCTGAAAGGCGAGGAAATCTGATTAAGTATAAATGACAATGGTAACAGAAGTCTGAACGGATGGTAAACGAGTCGGTTTGAATTCAGAAACGAGAGATCTCTTTCCTACACTCGACAGAATTATTTCCGACGTCTTAGTGTAAGCCAAAACGAGGTAATTACGCGATAATGTGTATTTTGTTACTGTGCATGAAGAGATTAAACAATTCTGGATATTAAGAAATGGTAAGTTATGCTAAGCACTCTTTTCGGAGGATTAAATCTTTCGCTTATGGCGCGAAAAACCGAATTAGAATAGAAAACAGTATGAAAACAACTTTCAAGAGGAACGCACAACAAAGTTGAGTAAGAATATCACTGACTCGTGGCGCGAAATGTTGCAACAATTTATACCTAGTGGATAAAGAGGAAATTTGTTGCAGACCTTTTCTAATCTTTAACGGAGTCATCTACGGCCTGTCTTCTCTTTACGCTCGGTATCTGATCGGGGCAGTTTCGATTTTGACTGTGTCGTTTTTGACGGTGGCGTTCGTGACTGTTTCGATGATGACAGCTGCGATGGTGGGGCTTTCTCTGTTGGCCGATTGGGCTTTGGACATTTCGGATCTGGAGGGGAATTCGGCGTTGGTTTTGGTGGCATAGTTTTCAATGGCAGAAGTGTACGAACAAGTTGACTCACAGCGACCAGCAGAGGTAGACGCTCAACTTTACTTAGGCTGACGTCAGATCAGTGCTATTTATAGGGAGACGCACCGAAACCGAAGAATCACATGTACGATCTTGATAGCTGTTAAGTTTGAGCGCAAAAAACTGCTTATCAAGCGTGCTTACGAAGAATTTTGGAAGACAGTTTCTTTTTCGAATCATATTTGACTTGTTTCGAGTATAATATTTCAACAAGGTCGAAAAACGGATTTTTGCGTTAAGTAGAGATGTCTGTGAATTATCCTATTTCTCCCCACCTCACCGATTACGCTCAATCGATCAACCAAGCAAAATTTGGTTTTACCGCAAAAGAAAAAACCGGGCTGTCCATGTCATTTTCTCATCATTCATCTTCCTCAAAGGTGGGTTGTTCGGTTGCGTCAGTTAGTTGCGATGAAAAACAATGAACGCGCCTCGGGTCAAAATTTTTTTCATTCATATCTGCACTCAGACATATCGAAATTCTTTTAAACTTTGCGCCTCGTATGAGAAACTATCGACGAAGTGAATGATCGAAAAATAACTCTCATTGCGTATAATTAAGTGCAAACAAAGCAGCTCTTCGAGGTGTTCTTGTTTTGACCATATTTTGAATCTCCATTTGCGCAAAAAACGTAATCATCTTTAAATGCGCGTGAAGATTGTTTTGAGTTTCTTTATCTGCATTCAACAGAAATTCAAACGAATTTGCCAGCCTACTGTAGTTCAACTCTAGATTGCTCAGCCTTCGATACCTAAACTTCATTTCGCGGTAAAATCTCGCGAATATTGATGAACTACCCTAATTTTGAAATCAGTACCACATGGGCCGACTTCCCGTTTGAAGTATTTCGCATATTTTGCTAAGTATCATTTCATTTCTGCTTTGTCGGGTGCCAACGGGTCTATTTACTCTGAAAGGCGAGGTAATCTAATTAAGTTTAGTTAACAATGAGTCAATGTCCAGCACCTCTGCCTTCAGCTAGATTGCTGTGATGTGTTCCCTCGCTCTTACACTTTAATTACATTATTTTCAATGGTTCTTTGCGCAAATTCGGTTTTGTTGATCATCGTTTCGTTTATATAGAAATTGTGGCTTTAGATGGCTTAAGCGTGGACTGTTAGATCGAATATTGTGTTTAAATGCTTCTCTCTATCAAATTTGATACCACTATCCGTCATCTTGTACAACACCAAACAATGTTGATCATCGAAGTAGAAAGCGCAATTCTCAAATCGAGCTCAGAGACTACGCAGTTTGGTGTGAATTTAAGACAAAGGATTCGATCTAGCATCCCCTTGAATCGTGAATCGAGAATCGAGTCCGAGAAAAGTCGAATACCACGAGATTGCGCCTCATGGCCACCTATCCATGACGAAAATGTGTTCCCTCGCTCTTACACTTTAATTACATTATTTTCAATGGTTCTTTACGCAAATTCGGTTTTCTTAATCGTCCTTTCGTTTATACGGAAATTGTGGCTTTAGATGACTTAAGCGTGGACTGTTAGATCGAATATTGCGTTTACATGCTTTTCTCTATTAGATTTGATACCACTATCCGCCATCTTGAACAAACAACAAAGAATACTGATCATCGAAGAAGAAAGCGCAATTCTCAAATCGAGCTCAAAGATTACGCAGTTTGGTGTGAATTAAGACGGAGGATTTCATCTAGCATCCCCTTGAATCGAGAATCGAGTCCGAGAAATGCCGAAGACGACGAGAACAAAAAGTAGACCGCGAAGTAGAAAACTTGAATCTATTGAAAATGCCACTGTTACGCCGCCATATTGAACAAACGACTGAAACCTACACTTAGCAGGACTTCAGAATTTAAGTTAAGCTTACCCCAAGAGCGCCTGTTCGCAGACTACAATAGCAACCACATGTTGAAAGTGAAGGTAAAACAAATGGTTCGTTATGTTGAAAAGCACAGAATTACAACAAGAATAAGCAGTTTAAGTGGAGACTCACATGCGTTTCCTCCTTCCTCGCTAATGCGAAGGTAATTTGGTTCTGGCGCCAACGGGTCTGTTTACTGATGCTCTTAAAATGTCTATGGTAGTGGTATCTCTCTTGATTAATGCCGTGGACTGTATCCCTCAATATTCTTTGCAATATTCTGGTAAATAACCCATTTTGGAACATCCTGTCGTGCCTTCTCGAATTTCTGTGCCATCGATTTTGTTTGACATCGGTAGGGATACTGAGTCTCAAATGTCTGCTGTGGAAACACTGCTAATTACTCAGGAACAAGAACAAAACTCAAACTACTTTTGTTATAATGTTTATTGACTCTATCTTTGTCAGATCTTTTACATCAGTTCTTCTGCTTTCTCTTCTCCGCGAGTGAAATATTGACTTGAATGTTACAATGCTTTGTCATCGAACGTAGGTCAAATAAACAGCACTATAAATCATACGTTCCATAAGTGTCTTAGGTTGAGAAAAAATCGATCGTGAAATCTCTTAGAAGTGAGAACTCTAACTAAGAACTAACCCAAATACAAACCATGTCAAGCTAAACGAACTTTGATCATAAAATTTTTGAAAACCATAATCATCTGCAAACTACAGCTCGACTACAATTGTCTTCGTTATACGAGTGAATAATTTTGTTTTAGGCTTCGCAACGCGAACAAATAGTGACAACTGCTAGTAATTGAACACGAGAAACGCATCAGTCCTTGTGCAAAAAGGCTTCATTGTTCCTCTGTCTAAAACTTGGTGTTTGGCATCTGAAAGGCGAGGAAATCTGATTAAGTATAAATGACAATGGTAACAGAAGTCTGAACGGATGGTAAACGAGTCGGTTTGAATTCAGAAACGTGAGATCGCTTTACTACACTCGACAGAATTATTTCAACGTCTTAGTTTAAGCCAAAACGAGGCAATTACGTGATAATGTGTATTTTGCTATTGTGCATGAAGAGATTAAACAATTCTGGTTCCAAAGACATAAGAAATGGTTTTTTATGCTAAACACTATTTCTCCAGGGTTAAATCTATCGCCTACTGCGCGAATAACCGAACTAGAATAGAAAACAGTATTAAAATAAAAACCACTTTCGAAAGAGTATCGAAAATTTACCTTTTAAATCACTGATCATTCGCGCCAACCTGAAAAACAATGGAAAGGAAGATTTAGTAGGTGTTGAGCGATCGATGAAGGAAGATTTCCGCCATTTTGTAATGGTTTACTTCGAGAAGCTGTTCTTCTCGCAAAATCGCAAAAAGCGTTGCGGCCGAGGACCGCGTGCACCTCTGTTTAGAGCTGTGTTAGATCTTTTGACTTGTTTTTCGCATCTATAGCTTGCGTCGCGGACAACATTTGCGGTTGTATTGGATCTTCCGGGCATTTTAGAGAGCTGGTTCGCCAGTAGCTCGTGGACTCATCCTCTCGACAGCGGAACGATCGATCACAACGATATATAAGCTTCATTGTTTATCATTTTTGTCATTTTTGTTTTAAGAGGAACGCACAACAAAGTTAAAAGTAAGTGAATAAGAATATCAGTGACTCGTGGTGCGAAGTGTTGCAACAACTTATACTAGTGGATGAGGATGAAATTTGTTGCAGACCTTTTCAAATCCTTAACAGAGTCGATTTCAGCCCTTCTTCGGCTTTGATGGCTTTGGTTCCGGCGACGGTTCTGGAGGGGTATTCGGCGTTGGTTTTGACATAATTTTCAGTGGCTGTAGTGTACGAAAAAGTTGACTCACAGCGACCAGCCAAGGTAGACGCTCAACTTTATTATGGCTGAAGCCAGATCAGTGCTTTTACTACGTGGCGACAAAGTTGCGTCTGCGTACTTCGTGTACTAATTTATTATAAGCCTTTTTTGCTGTTATGCATGTGAGTCTGTTAAACTGGAATCACAAAATTATTTCCTTCTCTCCATTTATATGGGAGACTATGGGAGTCGATGTCCATCAACTTGGCCTTCAGAAAAAGTGCATCTCGTGGCTACCTATCCACGACGCAAATGTGTTCCCACGCTCTTACACTTTAATTGCCTTATTTTCAATGGTTCTTTGCGCAAATTCGGTTTTCTTGATTGTTGTTTCGTTTATACAGAAATTGTGGCTTTAGATGACTGTAGCATAGACTGTTAGATCGAATATTGTGTTTAAATGCTTTTCTCTATTAGATTTGATGACACTATCCGCCATCTTGTACGAACAATAAATAATGTTGATCATTGAAATAAAAAGCGCAATTCTCAAATCGAGCTCAAAGACTACGCAGCTTGGTGTGAATTTAAGACGAAAGATTTCATCT